TCCTCCAGAGACATTGCCTGTTGTCTCATTCATATATTTGAGTAAATAATCTTACCAGCTTGTGAATAAAGGGAGTCATTTCACAGTGGTGAGTCTTTACGGCAGATCTGCTGAGCACTCGCTGCCCATAATGCTCTGTGCGGTGCTTTCTGCAGGATGTTTTCTTGTTACTGATTAGTGCAGCTGGGCAAGTGAATATTTCACACTTAAAGGCATTCTTAATATTAAACTGATGCTTTAAAAACCATTATGTTATTGTACAAACTAAAGATACCCAATTACAGTTCTGTAGAATCCACGCTATTTCTGGCGCAGGCAGCATGTGTTACTTTAAAGTATGTAAGCAGAAGTCTTCTACAAGCTGAAAACCTTGTAATTCCGTGTGGAATTGTGTCTTTCTTCCTCTAAATATCCTGAGTTTTGTGGAATTGCTCCAGAGATGCGACATTCAGACAGGTGTAGATGTCTTAGGTGAGGTTTTGTCGAATTTGGGATTGAAAAATGGTAAATCGTCTGCAGCCAGAAGAGGGAGCACTGTTACAAAGTAAGAGAAATGTGGTTTACTGAATGTGTCATGTACTCTTGCAGGATGGAAATCCTCCCCTGGATCCCAGTGAACATTTCATGGCAGAAGAAGAAAAACTCACAGACCAAGAAAGATCCAAAAGGTGGGTGCATAACAGCAGACCTAGATGATTATTGCTTTTTAATTTATGAGTGTGCATTTAGAGAGGGGGGCAAAAAGAAGAAATCTAAAGACCCTGTTGTTTCTTCCAGATTTGAAAAAGCCTATACGCATACTCTGTATTACCTGGCACAAGTCTACCAACACCTGGAGATGATTGAGAAGGCTGCTCAGTACTGCCATACTACTCTTAAACGACAGCTCGAGTATTGTGGCTACTACCCTGTAGAATGGGCACTCAATGCTGCTACTTTGTCACAGTACTATCTCTCTAAGGTAATATAACAAATGTTTTTCTGCTGTAATTATGTCATAAATGTAACTATCAAGTAAGAGCCACCTGGTGTAGTGGAAGGTGTCCCTGCCCATGGCAGGGGGGTTGGAACTAGATGATCTTTGAGGTCCCTTCCAACCCAAACCGTTCTGTGATTTTTAAGAAAACTGTTTAAACAGCTGTTTGAGTCAGGGCTCCATGTTGAATTGAAAATGTGCTTCTGTAAAACCACGAGTTGTCATCTGACATGAAACTTCTGTTAGTTTTTTCTCAAGCGGACACAGTGGCTTTCCTGTGGCATTGTGATGGTAATGGGAAAAATGAGCAGGGCTGTAGACATAAGAAAAGCTCTATAGTTTATCAAGTATCAGCAGTGATGTGACATGATGCTTGTAAGTAAAACTTAAAGGTTATAATCACTTAATTTCAAATTATTTCTTATAATTGTTCTCTTACAATAAAGAGTTTAAAACCAAAAACATACGAGGGTCAAGGTATTGCACATTTTATGTTTCCTATAAATTATTGTCCTTTGTACCTTAGTACGTACTTAAGACTTGTTTGAGCCTATATGAACATTAAAGCAAATATGTAAGGTGGTAGCTCTTTGCTTCCACACATCTGTGTTGAAATGCTTTAGTTTGATTTAGGAATTTCTATATTCCAGACTATGCAGGTGCTCTCTTCTGATGCTTAAAAGACTTCCGCCATATCTAAACCAGTTAATGCTAATTTTGATAGCAGCTTGTAATTTCGATGTCTCTTTGATGCATTGATAGCACTAATCATTAATCATTGTACTGCCAAATATGAGTAAAGGAATCTGAGTCTGACTCATAGCGTTGACTTGTATGACCAGCTCGTTCCGACTAACGCCCTGTGATACACAGTCTTTACCACAAGACATCACTTCCTTTACCACAAGGAAGCAATAGTAGCATAGATCAGAACAGTGAAAATGTTCACGATGTATGTATCCAACATTAAAAGCAAGACTTGCTATTGTGGCTGTGATAGAGAGAAAATGGTTGGTTAGAAAATACCGTATTCGGTCGTAGACGTGGAGAAACTGTCTTTTCTTCCAGTGTGCTGGGGAACATGCTCCAGAGACTCTCAGTTTTATAATTTCCCTGGTGTTCATGTATCCTTACTATCTGAGGCGAGGCGTTTAGCCAAGCTGAGAGCAGTGCTTGGGCCACTTACACCAGTGATACACACTGCCGTTTCTGTTTCTCTCAGCAATGCTTTATGGAGTCCCGACACTGTTTAGCAGCAGCCAGTGTCATCTTCAGTCAAGCTGGACAGGTGCCATCTGCTGAAGACAGTAAGTTCATATAAAAGTTATGAATAAAATACTGTGAGTTAAGCATCACTGATACCTACTGTTAAAAGTGAAGTCTAGCAATATGTACAAAAAAAGTGTTAATTTTCTAAAATCTTTTTAGTTAACAGTAAAGTGGAACGTTTCTGAAGAGCTGCTACTACAGCTTAAGATTGGCTATGAGTAAACCTGTGAGAAAAATGCAAGTGCTTGTTGCTGGTGTTTCAGAAAGCGTACAGAATAAAAGTGAAAATTAAACCAGTATCCATTTCATTAGTGGCAATGTCTCTGTTCACCCATTTGTTCTTGTACATGTGCTTAAAATGCAGCTTACTTTTGCTTCTCAGTGATCAGAGGGCAATGATTCAATGAACCAAACCCGATGCTTCCTGGGAATAGTTTTAAAAGAGGCAGGGGAAACCGCAGCTCTTAAAAACCCCAAATCCAGAAGCTACTTGTATTGTCTTTTGTTGCTGGATGCTGCAGCCTCATTAACGGCTATTTTTGGAGTTGTAGCTCCCTCCATGTCCTTTTGGGTATTGATGCAAAGGAACAACTTTGCGGTTCAGTGTGAAGGTGAATAAAAGAGACTTTTTAGAGAACTGACCACAGTTTTAAGGACCTGTGGTTACATGATAGTGTCAGCACTCAAAATAAATCATCTGTTTTAAGATTAGTCTTTGGTTATCTGCAGCACAGCTTTTTACATTCTGTGTCTTGGGCAACTGAAAGCTTCAAATTAATAGAGCTTTAACTTGTGGAGGGTGAGCAAGTAATCAGGATAGCCCCTGTGTGAGTACATATCTCTGACTTTGAACAGTGAATATATTGGTTAACTTTTAATGGTTTGAGCTTTTTAGGACACAAGCTCTTTAATCCACTGATGTTGTTATTTCAGGTTAAAATAGAACCTGAATAGACATAACTGAGCTTTATTTAATTGAAGTTCAGTGACAGTATGTTAACTTAATTGCTTTTAGTATTTCTCTTAGCTCAAAAACACAGAACTCTGTGCAGTTGCCTTTCTTACTATTTAAATACTGTGAGGTCGATGTCCAAAAGCTTTTTAGTTTCAGGGGAACAAGGCTGTCAAGAGTCAGGTTATGCTAATCTAGGCTGTTTGAAAACGGTATATTACGAAATATTCAGTAGGTCTGAATCAGTGTGTATGGGCTTCCATAGCTACCTGACTGCACAGTTGTCAGAGTTCATTAATATGACACTTAAGCCAAAAAATGACGTTGTTTTCAGTAGGCGTGTAGAAACATACGGTCAGTTGTGGTCGCAAATTCAGGTGCAAGATTGGAAGTGGTAGATGAGAGTTCTATTTTTAATTGTACTTTATTGATTTCTTGTGTGATTTTTTGGGCAAGTCAACTAACTTCTATCTTGACTTCTTCCTGCACCAAACAGAGTAGTGATATTTGTGTTTGTTTCAGTGGAGCGAATGTTTCTCCCATTTTCCCTCCCTTTTCATGGTACAGAGAGATGGGCTGCGGACTTGAAGATCATTAAGCAGAAAGTTTGGAGTTACAGAAGGACTAATACAGCATTGGCTGCTCTCAGACACATTCATTCTGTAGTGTTACTCGATATAGAAACAAACACACGTTTAATAAAGGTGCCTTTTCTTGGATTAGCAACAGTTCTCATTTCTGTAACAAGAACAACTGGATTGGCTCTAATGAAAGATAATGAATCCAGTGGATCTGAGTCTGAAGTTGGCGTTTTACTTGGTGAGCAGGAATCATCAGCATCTCCTCGTTGTTCAGCTAACTCGCTGCCTTCTGCCTAGAGACTGGCAAATGAGTTCTCTTTGGAATCTGTTTGATTTATGAAAATGTTATCTTGAGACATCAGCAGTGTTGCGACTTGTGACAGTGAGGAGACTGTGGGGAGAAAAATACAGAAGTTGTAGAGCTAATAAATCTTAGTTTGGTTTATCTATCAGGTAGATTAACCAAAGGCTGTTTCCCCTACTTTTGTTCCCTTTTTTGGTAGCAAGTCAGAGGTCTGTTGCAATACAAATGCTCTAATCATCCTCAGAAACAATTACTGGGCAGGCAGCTGAATCTCAGAAACCAAATTATTATGACTTCTTTCTCTCGTTACAAAGAGATGTGAAAACGTTTTCCAGTAAAATCAAAGGTCTTTTTAAACATACGTTATGATCTTTTTTTTTTTAAAGAAATCATGCATGACATCCATGTTAATCTGTATGGATTTCTACCAGAATGACAGTTTACGGAATTGTTTATATAAATAACATGGGAGAACACGTTTCTGTCTAAAAATGAGGAAACATTAATTAAATACAAGTAACGCATTCTTTACATGTAACATTTGAGGTTCTTGCTGGAACGCTCAAGTTCTCCTAAAGCTTTTGTGTATGTCCATTCGATAGATGAAACGGAGCAGGACCAACAGGACCTTCGACAGAGAAAAGCTGAAATTGCGAGATGCTGGATTAAGTATTGTTTGAATCTCCTGCAAAGCGCTCGGAAGTTACTTGAGGTAACTGAAAATCTGTTCTGTACCTGTCGTTTTTTTAAAAACAAACGAAGTCTATTTTGATGTTTGTAACAGGAATCAATTCATAGTTGGTAGCAAATGATAAACAATTGCCCAATAAATAATACAACAAATGCTTGCAACGTAGCAGGTGTTTCATAGTATGCTTTGACTTTAGTGCAGCCCTTGGAAATAAGCACGGATAGATCAGCTCTGTAGTGTCATCAGTGCACTGCTTGTACAGCAACTTCACAAACTTCCCTTCTCTGCTGCGTTTTCTTGTGGCTTGGTTTGGCAGATCACTTCTTATTTATCTGCTAGTAAAAACATCTTAATATGCAGCAGTTTTTGTGCTGGTGTTCTCATTCATTCGAGCATTTGATTCATTCAGGTGTTCGTTTCATTCATGTAATCATTCACTCGAAAGCTTAAAACTCTGCATTTGCTGAAACACTTTGCAGAAGCAGGGCCTTTGGGCTTTACTTTTATTGTTTTGGCCATATTATCACACCGGGTAGGGAGACTAAATTGTCTTAGTCTTATGTTTTTACAAAATCAAGACTGTAATTTGCATGATATTTTGTGAATATAAGGTCTAATATGCCAGTGTGCCTTCTGTCTTGTTGCTAACTAGTTTGTATTTCAAAGGTAGCTCATGAATAAAATGGTTCAGTGTAAGTCACTCTTCCTAAGCCATATGATTTTTTAACTAGTATGCTTTGTCATTTCAGGATAACATAGGAGAGCTGGATCCAGACAGGCAGTTGGAACTTAAAGCCCAAAGGAAAAAAGAAGAGGATGAAAAAGAGAAGGGCAGGAAAAAAGCTGTCCTTTTTGGGACGAGTGATATATGTGACTCTGTCTTAGCCATGGAAGAGAAAGTGAGCAGCGTATATCCTTTAGATTTTCAAGAAGCCAGAGAAATCTTTCTCGTTGGTCAGAACTATGTTCAGGAAGCAAAAGAGTTCTTTCAGGTTGATGGTTATGTTACTGACCATATTGAAATTGTTCAGGATCACAGTGCTTTGTTTAAGGTGCTTGCTTTCTTTGAGGAAGACTATGAGAGACGTTGCAAAATGCACAAGCGCAGGATAGACATGCTGGAGCCTATATATGCAGACTTGAATCCGCAGTACTATCTGCTGATCAGTAGGCAGCTTCAGTTTGAACTAGCTGACACCTATTATGAGATGATGGATTTAAAGGTAGCTCTTGGTAACAGGCTAGAGGAGCTAGACTCCCACACAATTAAAAAGATCAATTCTCTGGCTCAGTTAGCGATCAAATATTATGAACTCTTCTTAGATTCTTTGAGGAACCCAGATAAGGTGTTTCCTGAAGTGCTCGAGGAAGATGTTCTCCGCCCTGCAATGGTGGCTAAATTTCACATTGCACGACTATATGGTAAGCTTATTACTTCGGATAGCAAAAAGCAACTGGAAAATATGCAGACATCATTGGAATATTACACATTTCTGGTAGACTATTGTGAGAAGTACCCGGATGCTGTCCGTGCCGTTGAAACTGAACTAGAACTCAGTAAGGAGATGGTGGGTCTTCTTCCAACAAGAATGGAGAGGCTAAGAGCAAAGCTGTGTCCATTCATATAAATACTTGCCTTGAAGGAAATGTGCACTATTGAAACGATAACCTGTCAAAACCAGTGCTGTCGGGCAGCTTCCGTACTGATGGATAGACTAAGCTGTCTACAGTTGGGCAGTCCACCTAGAGCCCGCAGTAGTTCAATGTTGTGAAACTCTCCAGTTCAGTAGGTCACCCACACTAATGGTATAACTAAATGTAAAGTGAATGTCCGGCTAATGCTTTGTATTGTTTGTCCTGTATGTAAATAGAAACCTTTTCTCCCTTAAGGGTTTTCCCTTTGGCATATGGTTCAGTTTCTAAATGTAGTGCTGTATGAAAATGGTTTCTTTTAAGAAAAATCTGTTTCTCTAGGAGAATTTTTCTAAGAAGCCTGAGGCACGTTCTTCCAACTAGAATACGTTTTATCTCTTCTAACCTTTGTCCCAAGGAAACTTTATCCATAGGAAGGGAACTTCGTTATTTTCAGTATTTATTTTGTATGTTGCTCAGTGTTTTCTTTTTTTCATCTGTTAATCAAAACCTGGTTGGTAGAGGCTCAATAAATGGACTAGCTTGGCTACATGTTTTTTCAGAGTCCTTAGAATTCTGTTTCCTTGTGTCTTACTAGGATATGATATACATTACAACTTTGGCTGAAAAGTTGTGAAAGTGTTTCCACATGAGTGTCTTCGGTAAAAACGTGACAGAACCAAAAGCAAGAGAGCAGCAAACTTCCTTGCTTGTGGTGGGAAGATATACCTTGTAGAGAATTCACAGGGTAGAGGTGCTGTGCTTTAGTGCTCCACACAGTGGCCAAATACTGCTGAAAGGCCTGGGATGCCATGGAAGGCTTCTCATCTTGCGTTGATCAGGGAGCCCAGGTGCTGTCTTGGGAGAAGCTGCAAGTAGGGACCTCTCTGAAGTTGCTGCAGACCCCAGCACTGCCGAGGTGTTACTCAAAATCTGTGTGTGCCATCGGTTGCTGACTTCTCATTAAAGCTGTCCTCGTCGTTAAGGACCTGCTGATCTGGCAATGTTCCTGGTCTGATACAACCTGTTACCTCACTTTGTCCTAATTTAGCTACCTGTTTTCTCTTTATCAAAGACCAGGCTGCATTTCTGACCCAAAACATATACAGAGTTTGTATTCCTGGTGTCCATAGAAGAATTATGAACCAGGACCTGTTCTAGATAAAATGTAGGCTGAGCACATTGTCCAAGTGTATGTTGAGAGGTTACACCAGGGTATATGTGAAAAGTAAAGTGTAGTGTGCCACTCTGCACCAGCACTCTTACTGCTGTCGAGTCGTGGGAAGAAGTTTACAGCAATAGAGATCATTGAAGGAGAATAGTCAAAACAACTGATTTTTTTTTTCTGAAAAATGCAAGAAAATGAGGGGGGGGAAATGACGTTAGCTTGGAGAGTGTGAGGGGGAAGCAGACGCAAGCAAGAAAGTGAGTACATGTTAAATGTGTGGTAAAAATCTCTAGCTTGCAGAATTCTCTACAGAAGGCTTCAAACCACAAACAAATAGGCCAAGAAATGGGTCCTGGAAACAAGAGGCAGCAAAACTCAAAACTAGACCAGCTACCGGCACACATATAGAATAAGGGAGAGAGTATATGCATGCGTGTGTTGTTTCTGTCTTACGAAGTAATTGTCTCGTCAGCCTTTAAGAGGTGGTTCTCTGCTGTCAGATCTTTAATTCAGTTTTTCCCATGGGCTGAAGGTAGGGTGGCCCGTAGTTGCTTGGTGAAACAATTCTCAGCGGGCTGTACTGTGCAGTATTTTTATCTATGATTTCAGTTAAAGCTAGTCTGCACTTTTACCACAAACTCATAATCTGAGAGATTATTTTTTTTTCTGCTAACATTTAGCTTCATATTTGAGTAGGAGGTGATCACCCCCACCCCTCCTCATATGCTTTATTACTTAAATTTAGTTTACCTGTAGTTTAGGGAAGGATCCACCTATGAGGGCCTTTGAGCAAATTTTTTAAAGCAAGGATTGGCTCATCAAATTTAGTTTACCTGTAGTTTAGGGAAGGATAGATCGTGGACTAAACCAGCATACATACCAAAATTACTTTATTTTCAAATAGAATAATCCTGTCGTATGCTTCAAATACTGGTCTGAAGCGAGCGTTAAAAGTTACCTGCAGGGCAGGCAAAGCCGAGTGAAGTGTGGGGTGATGTGTCACTTTTAACCACCAGTTGTGTGCAGAGGAACACCCTGAATTTACTGAAATCCTGGTGAGACCTCAGCAGGCAGGCAGGAGCAGGTCCATAGTTAGGAAGGCCTGGGAATAAGAGGGATGGGAGCTTTGTCAACACAGCTGTGTGGTTGACACTGTGGTTTGGAGAGCTTTCTCCTCTGAAGATATCCCAGAACGCTTCAGCTTTGCAGCTGTTCTTAAAAACTGTACAGTACAATGTAAATACGTTTCATATGTGTTAGATACGGAGTTACAGAAACCAACGATGACAGTTCTTCCTCTGCTGTAGTAAACATTCAAGACTACCGCCAGCTAAGTGTGTTTTATTACTGGAGACTGTTATCGTGCTGGATGCTCAGCGTGACACACTACGTTGTGGTTCTTTTAAGGCAGGCATGCCTTTTTAAGGAAACCTTTTGAATAATTCCTGTTTTTTCAATGATTTGAGAGAATAAGCTTAAGTAAGATTGTGTATTGAGTTAAAAAAAAAAGGAGAGCTTGTTGGATTAGGCAGCAAAGCTCTTCTCAGGAATGTTGAGTTTTAACTGTAAAGTTTGTGTGAGGTCAGGCATTTATTTCAAAGATTAAGTAAAGATCAGGTTCCTGTGAACTCCATTTAACCTGCATTTCTATTCCTTTTTGTACAGCAAAAACATTACAACTGAAACCTTCTTTCTGTTCTCTGCTAGTTTTTTTTCCTTACCCTGCATAAAGCAGTGAGGTTTACAAGAAGCCCGTGTTTGTGCAGAATTCACATCAAGTGTGAGATCTCCCGAACTCAGATACTGTAACCTCAATGAGCTACTTGAAATCGTGCATAATACTCATGAGAAGTAATTTGCTTTGATTAAAAACACACTTTTGTTTTAATTGAAGTGCTTTTAATTCTCATGCTGGCTGGAAACATGGTACGTGTTATAAAATGGGTCGATTGGGAAGGTTGTGCTGTGCTTAAATATTTCAGGAGAGAAAGGAACCAGTGCCTTGTTCTCTGTCTCTGCCTACAAACCCATCAAAGGAGGCTCGCTCTTTTTTTTTCCCTTGAGTGGACGGGAGGAGAGCGGCAGGAGGTGACAGTCATGTCCTTTGCTGTTCTCCCCTCTTAAGCCGGCTGAAACACGGGGGAAGCGGGCAGCAGTGAGCCCTCACTTCCCTTTCCAGCAGGAAAGCAGGTCCCCTGTGTTGCAAGGGGAGCAGCGGTGGTTGCTGCCTCGCTGTGGCAAAAGCAAAAGGTCCCTGGGCTGGTTTGCTCTGTTCACCTGCTGGAAAGCTCCTCTGTTGGGAGTTTTGGTCCTGCCCCAGCACCAGCCCACACCACCCTGGCGAGGTGGATGGTTTCCTTCTCTATCTGTGTATCAGCGCAACACTCGCGCTGGGTGCGATTGCTGCTGCTCTTCTGCGTCCGGAAATACTGCAGGAGCCTGATTAAGTTTGAATCAGACAACGAGAAACAAGGCTGATCTTGTTAACATGTGGCTTTGCACGTTTCAGTTTTGTTGTTGGGTGTTTTCCTTTCTCTCAGCACTGAGAGTGAAGATGAGCTTTACTCGTGTGTTTCTTTTAAAAGACTAAGCAAGTCAGTGTTACTTAGATGGCTTCTGTGGAAGCCATTATAAAATTTCATTATAAAACGCCCAGAAATAATCCTGCGAAGGAGGACTTAGGTGGGCAGCTCACAAGGCCTATAGCTTCTTATTGTGCTATAATAGACTATAGCTATAAAGACTATGTGCTATAAAGACTAACCCTTCTATAGTCTTGGAGTTACGGAACTAAAGACTGTTATGTTAAAATCAAGTGCATAAATTTGTGGTGAGAAGCATTTGTCAACTTTCTTTCCTCTTCAATTGCAACATCTTTGGCTACTTTAGAGCTTGCCACAAATGACTAATGCAGATTTTAAATTTGGTTTGAAAACTGCTTTTACGTACTTCCCAGGAGCTCTGTCCAAAGCGCCTGCTAGTACTTTTTAGTTTTGCAGTTCGGCTCGTGGTTTCTAGCTCTTCCTTGTCATGGGTAGGCGTACAAACAGTCAGCGGTTTCCTGATGAAGACTATTTGCCTGGCTGCCCCTTTTCCGAAACATTTGTTTACAGCCGAAGATCTGGGTGATGTGCCAGAGAGACCATTGGGATACTGAACAGTGCGTTTTGCAAACACGTTACTTGCGTTCAGAACAGAAAACGTCTGTGGTGTCGAGCGTTTGTTTAGAGAGAAGTGACTGACAACAATGTGGTGCCTTAGTGTCACAGGCCTTAATTCAGATGGTTTTAGCAATGTTTTAAATGTTTATTGCTCGAGGTTTTGGCATTTGGTATGCACAGAATATGTAGTGTCTTTTTACGTGCTCATTGTCGCTGTAAAAGAGACTTCCTAGTTGGCATCAGACAAGGATGCAAGGATTTCACTGTTTGAGGTTTTTAATGCAATTTTCTGCTGAAACAAAGAGGAACTGGGCGAGTGGGTGAGTGAGCGAAATATTGCGATGGGCATGTGATGGCATGAGCTGGTGTTAGTCACTGAACGCCGTAAGAGGAGTACAGGCGCTTCCGTCAGAGAGCTACTCTGAGATCCACGAGTGAAATGTGTGGGGAAAAGAAGAAAAGGAATGAACAAGATGATTTCCTGTACGCTAACTTGTCTTGGAGGGGGGAGCAGGAGCAAGTGGTTCCCAGACAGGATCTCAAACTGCTCAGAGTGTTGGCCGTGAAATTCCTCCTGCTCTCCTGGAGCCCATCTCTGGGTAGCCAGTGGGTTCAGCAAACGCCAGAGAAGTTTCACAGCAGCCAGGATGCAACCAGATGGGCGCAGAATCTCCTTCCCCCAGAGAGCGAGGACTTTTTAAATAACAGAGGTAGCGACACCCTAGAAGCGATGTCTAGTACAGACAAGGAGATGAATATGGTGATGCTGGATCTGATTGCCAGCACGTGGTCTGCAGGCGAGGAGGGCACAATAAAGAACAAGTAACCTCCTGCCAGCAAAGTTTACTCTCAACACCAAATATTTATTGATGGTTTGTGTGCGGATGCCTAGCCCTGATGAGCGTCACACATTGCTATCCATCCTGCCTGTCCACATCTGGAACTTTTGGCAAATAACTCTCAAATCCTTCTTCTTTTAACTTCTCCGTGTACTTTGCTGTAACGTTTTCTTATGGCACCGAGCTGCCAGCGTTACACAGGGCTCGTGGAAAGACACACTTAGTGCTCTACACCATAAAGGCACGAGGTATTGCAAGTGCAAGGGTCTTGGGAGTCTTACCTTCCTGGCTGTCCTGTCCTGTCCTCCCCGCTGCACTCTGCTGGAAAGGTTAGACGAGCTGAATCCTGGCCCGGGCTTTGGCCTTCCCTGCTGGCTGACCCCTGTCT